AATTACAATAGAATTAGTTCCATATGACTTTGAAATGTTGCTTGAGTTTTCTTTTTACATTTCTCTCTTCCAACTTATGAGAATATGTCAAATCTTCACGTGTATGATACACAAGTATTTAGTCAAGAATGAAATGAGATACACGTGAAGTACAGACGTGTATCTTATGAAAGAGAGTATCAGTTACAATTGGTTTACGTGTTACTCGTCTGTTGTTAAATGGTTAAATGTTAAAAAAATGGTTTGTTATGATATGGATTTTATAATTTTTCAAAAGTTTCGTATAGGTTTTTAAGTATGATTTTTCTTTTCTTAAACATTGGTCTCCTGATGGGACAGTTGTAAATCTACGGATTTATAACGCTAATATCAGGGGTTCGATTCCCCTCGGTAGTCACAGCAAATAGCCCGATGTGGCTTTGCTATAAAAATACACAAACTCTCTTAAACATTAAATTTAAATCGTGTTTTATATTTTCTAGTTATGTATCTGCATTTTAATCGTCGATTTCTGATGTTATAATATCATTATTGAAGTGTTTGTCAAGTTGATACTGTTCTTCTGAATTAAAATGAGTCTCGCAATGTTACAATATCATTATTGAAGTGTTTGTCAAGTTGATACTGTTCTTCTGAATTAAAATGAGTCTCGCAATGTTACAATATCATTATTGAAGTGTTTGTCAAGTTGATACTGTTCTTCTGAATTAAAATGAGTCTCGCAATGTTACAATATCATTATTGAAGTGTTTGTCAAGTTGATACTGTTCTTCTGAATAAAAATGAGTCTCGCAATGTTACAATATCATTATTGAAGTGTTTGTCAGGTTGATACTGTTCTTCTGAATTAAAATGAGTCTCGCAGCTATTCCACCGGTGCCAAGACATGTGATATTTGTATCATAACAAAATTCTCTTAAATAAAACTGTCTGTACGTTATATTTTTTATTCTCATTTTTGGGGGGCACATCTTTAGAAAGAAATCACAAAGCTAAAGAATGAACACCTTTTTTTTCAAGATTAATAAAAGAAATAGCTTTCTTTATTTTTGCATCCGTTTAAATAAATACAAAAATTTCCCTCAGACTAAGACTACAGAAATATAGTATAGGCTATTCTAATAAAACAAACCTCTTAAGTTGGAACAATTATAAGTTATATGAGAAATGTCCATTCATTCACCGGTACCAAGTAGCTAAATGGTTGTAGTAAAGAGCTCTACACCATACACGGACAAACACAGTTGCAGATTAAATTTACTCTTCGAGTAGAATATGTTGTATATTTCAATGAACAAAACTCATTTAAAATTTCTACAATATCTGATACACAACCTTCTCCTCCAAAATGCATTTAATCTTTGAACAGAAATTAGACTAATAAATTCATTCACATAAAAAAAACTTTGTTCTTATGATAATTCATTAATAGCATATTTCTATATAGTTTCAACAATTCTGAAGAAAGTGACATCACTCCAGGCACATTTAAGCGATTATAACGATATATTATCACATACAGCACCAGTTACAATTAACCATTAACTGTTTGAACTGAGATCATGGAAAGTGGTTGAAAATGAAAATGGCATGTTTAAACTGACAGGATCAGTTTTTCATGATAAAAATGTTTTCTGAATTTCTCCATCTATATGAAGCTAAGTCCGAAACTTCGATACCTTTGGAGGTTTTTTTCACACATAAATCTCCTCGCATCTATTGCACTTTGCAGGTCTTTTAAATTAGTAGCAAAATACTTCTAAACCGGTCTAAAATCGAAAGATATTATCAACAGTAACCCTCAAAGTCTACCCTTCTTTTAAAAACAACCAAAAAACTAAACGTCTCGTAAAGAGCGTCGACTCTGTTTCTATTTATTCATGAGATATGAATTGATACATAGGGTCAGAAGGTATTTCGAGGGTCCTTGTATTTCCAGTTATGGAAAAATGGGATTGACACCTTTCAAATAAAGGAAACGTATAGAGCAGTTTTATCTCCGTACTGGAGAACTAAATGTTTCATTTTTGACAAATTCAATAACATATTCATAAATTATATGAATAAAACTGTGTTTTTTTAACTTAGTCTAAGATAAATACATGTGAGTTTTCAAATTGAAGTTAATTTCCGTTAGAATAGGCCTGAAAATAATTTTATTATTTTTAAAGTAATTCATTAAAACTAAATCAGTTTCATATAGGAGCCATGATTCTGTGACTTAAAACCCTTTAAACCCCGAATAAGATGTATACATGTAATATGACACAGATGATGCTAAAAGATCTATAAACTTACACCGTACTTAAGGTTTGACGTTCCTTCATCCAGTAATACCTATTACATAAATGTTATAGAATAATAAAACAAATTAAGAACAAACTACAAACGAATAATACACATAACAAATATTACACGTCATTAATAATAAGTGTGGGCATCACAGTTTACAATAGTGCTTAATGAGATCGTTAGGCTATCTATAAAATAACACATTGAAGGTCTTTACTAGACGTTCTCACTGGACAGTTTCATGTACACATGTGTGATATTTTATTATTGTATTCGTGAGCAATAAAACTATGTTATATTTTTTTAGAACATGTATGCTTTTATATTGTCAGTTAAACGTAATATTGTTTCATATAGTATTGTCTTAAGAATTAATTTCTCCAGTTAGCACTATTGTTGAAAGCGATTGTCTGAAAAGTACACAATCGAGTATAAAGTATGAAACGCCGTTTAATTTCTTGAAAGTGAAGCATATAAATATTCATGATTTGTTTCTAAACTGAAACAATCTAGTATACGATAATGCCTCAAAACATCACATTCACCTATTTATGAATATTTGACATTTATTTCAACAACTATCATACAAATATAAAAAGGAGCAGTTTGTTATATGAAATACATTCGATAGCGCCCGCAGGATATATTTATTTGCTAAATTACTTAGACTAGAAATGTAGATTGGATCTTCTTTTATATACTTGAACCTATAGCAAATATAAAAGTAGACTGGAAATTAAGCACGAGATTTATTTCAGTTTGTAACAACCATGTCCGCTTTTAGAAGAACTTTACTAGACAAAACTGTTATTTTCTTAGAACAAAGCTACAAAATGGGTTACCTGTCCACCGCAGGAAATCGAACCTCGTATTATAGCGCTTTAAGTCACGAAATTTATAGCTGACCCACCAGGAAACCTCGACAAAAGTAAATCATATAGAAAAATTGATAAATTAAAACTTTGGGCGAGACCTTAAAAATGTAAAAATCGAAGGACTTTACTTCTCCAAAGAGGAATCTAGAATCAGAAAAACATTCATCATGTAATAGGAAGCAGTAACATAATTGTATTTTCGAATTCTTCAGCTAAGCCCTTCTATCACGAAATGTTTCAGCATAAAAGTCAAAATAAAGAATTTTTCATTGTTGTTAATCGGTTGTACAGATGAACTGTAAACGACTTCAAATAATAAACCAGTGTCACAATAATTTTTCAAAACGTATTTCTTTTGACGTCCTACCAGAACGTATTAGTGTAGTGTTTGGAACAATGCTGTACACATTAAATTTATTTTAGAAGAAACTGCGTTGTGGAGAATTGCATTTTTATAAAATAACTTTAATTCTTTGGAGCTTACAATATTTTATTTTGAGAAAAAAAAAACATAATTTTTAAACTACGGAATCGACTGAGTTGATATTTTCTCAAAATATGTGCAGAATAAAACAGAATGCTTAAAGATTAAAAATTACAATTAACTAATAAGATACACTAATGAAGACATGACTTGGACAATTTAAAAAAAAATCTGAAATATGTATACTTTTCTTGTTTTGATATTTTTTTATTATCATAGATGATTTGATTCTCAAACAGTTTTGCGACTGTGTTGAAAATCCCCAATCTTTGGACAATTTATATTCAAAACAAAAATGTTGTTAATACATTACTTAGCTAAGTTTCTTCTATAAACAGCACAGCGGTATGTCTGCGGACTTACAACGCTAGAAACCGGGTTTCGATACCGGTGGTGGACAGAGCACAGATGGCCTATTGTGTGGCTTTGCTGTTTGACTTCATACAAACAAACAAACAATCTTCTTTAAACGCACCCCAGAGGCTCAGTGGCAATTCTGTGGCCTTATAACGCTAGAAACCGGATTTCGATACCCGTGGCGGGCAGAGCATAGATAGCCCATTGTGCACCTTTATGCTTAATAACAAATAAAATCTTATTTAAACTCCACCAAAGACTATGAGAAGTAGAAACTTGGTTAAGAAGCTTCTATTTGTTTTGAAACATGAGTTAATGTTTGTTCCTTTGAGGAACAAATGTATATTCTATTCATTACTACTTTTCTTGATGACAACAGACGTCAAGTGTATGTACAAATGGTGATTTAATAATATTTACATTAAAACTAATAAGTTCAAGTAAACTACAAATATTGATATAGTACCTGTCTTTGAACACAGGGAGATATTTTTCTTGGCACTGTGAATACATTTCTGTGAAACAGAACAGTGAAAACGTTTAGAAAGATGCCTTCTTCATCCAAAAAAAAAAAAAAAAAAAAAAAAAAAAAAACAACACATTTTACATCTAGCGTATCAATCTTTTCTAGTTATCTATACGCTCTTTCCAAAACATTTTAGCTGTACTTCATTATAACTGTGGCTCTTCGGCCCCTCGTTCACCGCCATAC